CGGGCTCTGAAAATCCACAGATTGGTACAAAAGAAGGTGTGGTATCTTCTTGTAAATCATTCAGACAGTCGTACTTGCAGTGCTCAAGAAGCTGGTTAGCTTTCTTCTTTTCAAAGACGTTGACAAAAATTTTGTATTTCTCTGAAAGCTTGACAGGTTTTGATCTCAAACAAGGTTTTTCATCTCTGGCTAGATGGACGTGGATGACGGCTTGAAGAGTTTTGGCGACTCGATAGATTGATGTTGCTCCAACAAAGAATATTTGAACACAACTGGATTTCTTGGCAAGATTTTTGATAGGACTAGAATTAGTTCTGATACCTTTTGGATTTTCAATCAGAGAATTCTAAAACTCAACAAAACAAGATTTAGCATGACAAGAAGTGATGTAAGGTACCAAAAAGCTCTTGATCATCGAACTGTGGACAAAACTTGACAAGATATGTTTCTAGGATTGGGATGATCAAATGGTGCATCGTTATGCTCTGATAGTGAGATCTCTGGAGTCAATCATACAATGGTATGATTGAATGGTGCATCTCAAGCCAAGATAGACCAAGGATGAGAGTGTAGTGATGTGTAGATATGATGATGAAGTCAATCAGCTCTAAATGAGTACTAATATGAAGTTGTCTTGTCAACATCTTCATCTACAATTCAAATTTGATTGTAGTCGATTCTCAAATCTGGCTTGATGAAATACTTCTCTCTTTGAAATTGATCAAACAAATCATCTTCACAAAGTAATGGATTTTCTTTCACTGTTTCTTGATGCAACCCTCGATAGTCGATGCATAGTCTCTTGGATCCATGATTCTTCTTCATAAATAGCAATGGAGCTCCATAAGATAAAACACTTGGTTCAATAAATCCCTTGCTCAACATATGCTACACTTGAGCTTTGCATTCTTCCAATTTGTTTGGAGCCAAACGATATGGAGCTTTGCAAGTTTGTGTACTTCTAGGTATCATCTCAATCTTGTGATCTATTTGCCACTTTAGTGGTAATACTGTAGGTAGATCATATGGATAAACATCTTTACACTCCATAAACATGTCGTTCAAGGACTCTGGATGTAAAGTTTGTACCATGGATAATTCTACACTCCGTGGTAGTGTATATATCACTTCAGTTTGCACGTTTGGTAATTCAACTTCCTCACTCACATCTTTCATCAACATCAAACCTAGCTTCATATCAATACTCCTTGATAGAAAATTCTTTGGTACTTCATGATCAATTAAAACTGTCACCTTGTGTACTTCCATCAAACCATCAATGACAATGAGTTGAACTTGCTTCTTACTCCTTCCATGAGCTCCCAACCATTACTTTCTTCCAACCTCGCCTTTTCTTCACTTTGTAGAACCAGTAAGGTCGCGAGACAAGTTTACTAGTGATATTTTTTCTTTGAAATTTCTTCCTCCACCTCTTCATATTATATTCTCCTCCATGTTATTGAATGGTCGTTGTAGTATAGGCCGTTCTCCTTGTGGTGGCGGTCGAATTCGACAAAATTTGGCAATGTGATTCATTCGTCCACATGCATAGCATTGACGATTGTCACGAACTTCAGTTCCTCCTTGAACCTTTTTGTTATTTGCATAACCTTCTTGCAAATTTGAAAATCTTGGTCGTCGAATCTCACCTCTAAATCTTGGGAGTGGTACTCTTGTTGGTGCAAAACCTTCTTCAAGTCGAAGGTTTCCCAGGTCCATTGGTGTTAGGTCTGCAACATCCGGACTTATTCTCACTTGGGTTTACATCAGATGGCTTTGCTCTAGCTCATCATGATTTTAGAAGACTAGGATTATTTATCATACTCATAGCACAAACACCCTCTTACACAATCCGTCAATGTATCACTCTAATTCACAAACACATTGACACTCCAAGATATTAAAAATTTTCACTTTTTCATATATAAAACAAGTCTCGATACATGAACTCTTCAAACTTGTTTCCGAGACTGTCCTGTACCTTTCTACTTATACTACTTGAGAAATTATCATAGGTTATATGTTGTAATAATATTCCAACTTCCTTTCTTTAAAATAAACCATAGTAAGTTTAACTAGTTCTCAATACGTGACAACATGTCTTCTAGATTTTTACTAATCCATAGATTGAGCTGGCGACATACCATTTGTGACTTTCTAACTTCCAGAACCTCCACTTGCCACTAAGTCAACATTAGATTTAGTCTAATCAATGAAGTCTTCAATATTTAGTCAAACCAATCCAAACTAAACATGAAATCAAAAGTTTTTTATCACATAATTTAGATTTTTGTACAAGACAAAACAAAAGTGTTCACTCAAATATTCTAGAACTTATCTAGTTATTATGCCAAGTAAAGACATTATAACTAAACATAATCATAACTTGATAAACTTTGTTATAAATAGTTAGACCTAGTCATAAATTTTTTTAATGTACTTATGAATATTTTATTTTTTTTCAAATCCTATAACTTCATTCTTGTAGTTTGAAGAAAATCCACCGCTTGAAAACTTTGTAGACATCAATACTGCATTCCACTCCACAGAATGATAACATCTTGTTTTGAAAACACTCTCTCACATGTTGTGTACCATGTGACAGCCTTATCAGTAAGATAAGATGTCATGAAAATTCTTACAATATAATCAAAAACATGAAAATGAGATAAATGAATATTCATCCTCATTATCCATCACTCTAACGCTCTCATCGTCCTATTCCCTTTGTAAATTTTCATCTTATACGATTTTTCTATTCGAAACAAAAGATTTGCTTGATCTTTAATATTTCAAGTCATATCTTATTTGCCTTGCCATATCAACAGAAGTTACTTCAGGCTGAATTTAGAAAACTTGAACTTGAGGTTCAACTTACATCTTCCAAATTCTTTCTCTTTTTACTTTTTGATTCTCCGATACGAAGATCTTATTTTCCATGATTTATTGTTTGGTATGTTCAAATACTATCACTTTTTTCAACTCTTCATATCCAATATGATTGCGTTGATAACTTCACCTATATTGATTGATGTCTCCATGTTTTCTCACATTCACTCATGTATAGTTGATTCTATCACAACTCTAAAGTAATTTTTTGCATAATTCTTCACAAGAAAATTTCTCCATAATTTTTTTTGTCAGTTTATTTTTTTAATCTCTACATAGGTGTTGTATCAAATCGGGACGGGTGGTTTATAATTCAAATCCATGAAATATTCACTATTGAATGTATATGATACAATCCCAAGTCTTTTCATAAAAAACTATTGGAATAATCACTGACATTCTCAATTCTATCACTCTAGTCACAAAATCAACATCCCAAAAAGCCACAAGGTATATCCAAAATTGATGTTTTTCTATATGAAGAATGTGAATATCAATAGGTTAGAAATCGGCCAGTGCGATACTCAATTTTTGTCAAGCCCATCCATGTCTTCAAAATCACAATTTCCCCTTTCATTCTCTCTCTACATGTAGATTAATGACTTCTTCTCACCTCTATATACTTTCAAATCTGCATTCCATCATCATTCACTTGTTATTTCATGAATTATAATACACATTCAAGAAAAGAGCAAGGTTGCTCTGATACCATTGTAACAATAGATTTTAGAGAGAAGTTCACTCAAAAATATAAATACAAACCCTGAAGATGAGATATACTAACAATGTTTCTATTTTTTTTGTATAACTATTCATAACAAGTACAATGTGATAAAATTTTATCCACACCATCCATTCCATTTCTAGTGGATGGATGACGTGGCGGATAATCCTAACAAGCACACTTATCGTTAACGCGGCTCTTCCAACTAACACATTCAATCCTTACCTAACAAGCATCCGGATCGATGACATGGCGATGTAAACTAACATATTTAATCTATACCTACCAAGTACGCGGATCATTGACGAGTGCTATGACTTGTGCACGCTAAATTAACTATATAAAAATTGTGAGATACCTAATTTTAGTCCTAATTTGCTTTTTCTAACTATCATTTTTAGTTACGTAACGTTTTCATTGCACATAAGTTCATATTTTTGAACTATAAACGGTGTATTAGTTAGATTTGTAATTGGTTCCCAAGTTGATTCGTATTATGATGTATATCTTTTTGACTGAACCAAACACTTAACATTAGTATATTTATAATCTTGAATATATTTCTTGAGTATTTTTTTATCTCAAATTTTTTAAATTATTTATCAAGACGGGTGAAATAAATAAAATAGATTAGTTTATGAATTATTTCATCGTGATAAATATTTTTGTGATCGTGAATTATAAATTATATTTTTATATGCGATGGATGATTCGATTTACATGACACTTACATAAAATAACCAACGAATCTAAAATTAATTTAAGTATTAATCAACTAAATATGATTACACGTTAGATTTCGTTATTGATGGAATTTAAAAAACATCGAGTTATTGAGATGTGGTTAACCCAAAACCTATATTTAACAGTTCATGTATGTTAGATTTCGATATTGATGGAATTTAAAAAACATCGAGTTATTGAGATGTGGTTAACCCAAAATCTATATTTAACAGTTCATGCATGCGGCCTAATACATTGCTTCTTTGTACTTATTTCTTTTACTGATATTGATTTGGATATAAGTTTATCTTAAATGTTCATATAGTTTGTTCAGGTTTGTTGACCAGGATAAAAATACTAAGTAATGAGTAGATTGATGTTTTGAAAGTGTGATTAGAAAACATTTGGGCTTATTTCACGTTGGGCTAAAAGGGTAAATAATTACATCACATGTCAACTGATATCTTATCAACGTTTTCTTTTATAATTAAAATTGAATCTCTTCCCTTTTATAAGTGAATATTCTTCTTGATTTTATTTCGTTGTTTGAAAATATGCTTTTCCCTTTCTAGTAAGACACTATCGTGCCAAACCAGCACTAAAATCTTATATGCATGGAAGAAACATATCTCCAAGTCCAATTGAAGAAACCTTGGGAAAAAAGTGGGCAATACCCAACAATCTGATAGTGACTTCCACGGGACATGTTACGCACTGAGCACTTCAAGAGATGCAGGGTCAAAACTGCCATGATTGCAGGAAATAAAACTGTCGTTTAAGCGATCTTAAATTTCAACGGTTGTTACCGGCACACCACCACCACACGTGGAGGGTCAATCACTCGGTAGGGAAGCCCATCCTCACTTGTTCGCAAGTAGTATCTACTTGCGAGCCTGTTCCCGTTTGTCACGAGCTGATGATCTCGGTGTACTCTGTTCACTTGTATCAAGCTCCACACGTTGGCCCCGTGAGGCGACAGTGATAGTGCCCAACACTCGTCAAATTGTGGTCACAACATCCGGAATCCTGGGACGATCGGCTACTACTAGACACAATCATTCTCGTGTGTCTGGTAGACCAGAATACAGACTGCTGTTATTTACGGTGGTTGTCCACGCCTTTCACTGCCAGATTGTTATCACACTAGACTGAGCCAGAAAGATGAGGAGTACAGCTACTTCATTGTGATGAGGAATCATGAAAAATGCTTTGACTCGATCCTGTCTTCCAAAGGGAGCAGTTTAAACGCACAGTGGCCACATAAAGAGGTAGAAGCTTTCGATGATGGCCACCTTACGCTTTACAAATTGGAGGTATGTACATCAACAATATTGCCTCCGGATGGAGGTCGAGCTCGTATTTCCAGCCAGCAAAAATTCAGCTCCAAGAACTATCAGTCTGTGTCCTCTCCCGATGTGTCAGTTCCTGCTGGAGTCGTGCATTCTATCCCGTCAATTCGAAGGATTCTTAGCCGCGTCAGCTCCTGCAACAATATTCGGTTACACAAGTTCAGAATATTTGCAAGAGTTATTGTCCCCCGTCCCAAGACAAGCAAATCCGTGTTATACTCATCGACAAAGAAGTCCAAAAATTGGATCGCAGAACGCTGTTCACAAGGACAAATAACCGGGACAAGAACTGGGACAAAAACCGATGCTACCTTTACATAGAAGTCGGAACAATACGAAATGAAGCCGTATGACAGTTGAAAGAGAAATAAAAAAGACAAAAGAACGGCTTCGGGAATCATACTTGACGGTGGCCGTTGGTCCTCCTGTAATTCTTTCGTCTCTTCTTCTTGAAAATGATAACTTTCGCATCAAGTGCCTGTAGTGTAACCCCCTTCGTTAGCCTCGAATTAAGGTAGATGCATTTGAAAGAACCATATGTTGCCAGGCTTCAAGACATGATCTACCGGCACTTCTTCCATTTGATAGACCGAAGCCCAAGATCCAAGTAAGTGCAAGTAGAGCCTCACATACGTTTCCTTCAAACATTTCCTTCCATTATCAAACAATTACTTCACAATTACCATACAGGACTTTCACAAAGTCGATTGATCCACCTTGCTCGACCAGAAAGTGCATCCAAATTATCCTCCATCCAAAAAGCGTAAGAAGGAGAGGAGAGGAGAGGAGAACGACTATACATGTTCTTCGACAGCCGCTAAGACCGCTGCATCAGGAACGATGGGTCTGCCAATTATCGTCTGGTTCAGTGATCCCAGCAGAAGCACCTTGTTCAAGCTAAGCTGCAAATGCGCAACAGATAATTCCATACATTCTCTGTCAGAGGAATAATATCTAGCTTTCAACGTTCGAGAACATAACATCTTGAGTGCCGCCACACAAAATCAAGAAATTTCAGTACGGAATGAAGTGACATCTCGGTAATTCTAGCACATGTAAAAGGTAACTTTAATCCAAAAGCTGGCAAAGGTTCGACCTTTGAATTGTAAAGGTAACATATCTCCTACCGCGACATCAACAACGATTCAGCCAACCTTACCACAAGACATATGAGAAGATGTAGATACAATCTCTGTATGTGGTGAAACAGGAAACCGTAGGAACGTCAACTTGAAAACTAGACGTCGTAGACTTAGAATGCACCTGATCATTGATATCAGCGTACTTGAGTTTCTCCGTATAAATCATGTCTCCAGGCGACACCTTGAATTGGTGTGATCCGACCTGTTGGATTCAAGCAGATAAGTTTCATATTGAGTGAAAAGTGACCACGCTGACGCGTAACCGAAAAAAATTAGCTGGAAGATGAAGTATGACAGTTCACATTCTTTCTACAAGATGTAAATCATGCCATTAGCTTATGGAAATGCATACTGGAATTATATCAATAGTCTATCATAATCAGCTGAAGCCTTCTCTGCGTATGTACCCTCCTTTTGCAAGCTGATAGACACTAGAATTTCGATAAAAGATTTCTTCCCGACTGAAACCACCAGTGGCAAAGTCTCAAATTCGTCTCAACAGGAGAATCCGCGACCAGGAAGCTTAGGTCATGAAGTCATGTAAAATTGGATTGGCAAGTTGTAACTACGTGGAAATCCATACGCAGGATGGTACCTGAACAACAGCAAAGGCCGCTTGAGGTTGGATCTTGGGTCCATCGGGGACATACGGACCCAGCACCCTATATCCAATCTCATCTGCATTGCTCAAGTCCGATCGCCTTGGGTCTTCTCTACATTCCAGAGCCAGGCTGCTATAAAACGCCCCTCCTATCCGTCCCTGTCCCCAATACTCAGACCGCTGACCCCCAAGAGAACCTAGATTCCTTGCTCCAGAAGCTGAGAAATTCCTCGAAGAAGCTGGAACACCGGGGCCTTCCAACGCACCTAGGCAAATCCCCGATCTCTCCGACAATGGGATGGGGGAGGAAGACCACTGTCCTCCCACCAATTGAGTTATCGATCGTCCATCGATCGATATGCCTGTGGGGTTCCTATCAAAAACCCGAGCCCTCCGCAGACATTGAGAGAGGGCCTGCAGCGATCGACCTGCCATAGCCCTGTACAACCATGTGAGATTGGAAATTTGGATCGTCGACTTTCACTGAATTCCGAGCCCAGGGAAATTGAGAAACCCACTTGACAAGAAAAAGCAGGATTAGGGTTTCACGTGTGACTAAACTCCGCTCAAGAACCAGAGCTCCCCGCCCACTTCTGCAACCGTGTAACGAAACCATGAGGGTTTCCCGACCGGATCAGGGTTTAGTCATCGATCTCCGAACCATTCCCAAACCACGTAGTTTGTCCACAGTGAAGGGTCCTCAGCTCCATATACCAGCAAGTTAATCGCAAACTCATCATCGAGCCTGAATTTAAGAGTATTGTAGGTGAAAATTCCGGGGAATTCTGGAGGATAGCAATTTGTCGATCTGCACGGTAATAGCAATCCCATCACCACTAGCCCGACGTAGATATTCTTCTGAATTAAGATAAAAACGTGATACTTTGCCCGGCACATCACCTTATTTTCTTTTCTAAAAAACATAGCTTATTTCACTTATTCCTTTGTAACTACAATTCGCTGTTGGTGGCAATAAATCAAGCGAAAGACGACGATTTAGCATTTAGACTTTCAAAACCGTGGACAAAGCAAGCAAAGTCTTTTTTTAACATTCAATAAATTAAGACTTACATGACTTAAACAAACCAGACTAGGGCTTGCACACTTTATCCAAGTAAGTTTTTATATATTAAGATAAACGATGATTTTTACTTGGTGTTCAAGTGAAAATTGTCTTTAATTATCAAACCACATTTTTCTTTTATTTCACATGAACTCCAAGTAAAACCAATAGAGTTTTTAAAAATTATGTAGATATAAGAACTTTGCTTGAGGTAGGTTTTAACTATTCATCTAGAACCTAAACATAGAGAAAACATGAAGCAAGTTGACACAATTGGTTCATCTAACCTTACTACCATCTAAATAACATCAAATGTCATTTATTGGAATATTAAATTGTATCGTTAAGACTACAACCAGATCTTTTACAGCCAATCGGATTGACACATCATGATTAAATTTGTTGAGGTTAATCAAGGCATGACCTAAGTACTAACAATCTTCCCTTTGATTCATGTCTTGGGAATTGTAAATTTCATAAATCATATGATAACTATATATATAAATTTAAAGTTAATTTTTAAATAAATTATTTAATAGATTGAAGTCAAATGTAAACGTAAAACACAATGATACACTCAACCAAGATAAGCTTGCCAACTACACTTTCATAAGAAATAGAATACATCAATCATTTTGCAATTGGACATGAAACTGCTGAAAGCTTAAAGTGTGCAGCTAATGAAGTACTTACATCTTTAGCATTTGGCATGTTAAACCTAGCAAGTACTTTCTCTGCATATCGAATCTATGTCTATCAATGTTATATTAATGACTCGTTCCTGTGGATTTTTATACATAGAATACGCTTAGTAGGATCTAAATCATATTAAACTTGAAACTGAGCTGGACTTTGAGTCTAATAATCTTAGACATATACTTAGAGGCAAGAAGCATGTCATCTACATATAAAACAAGTACTATGAAGCCAAAACTTATGTTGCTAACACGCTTTATGTACACACAAGGGTCATATGCACTTTGTATGAAATCATGCGTATGCATGAACTCATCAAAATGTTTGTTTCATTGTCGGGTACTTTGCTTAAATCCATACAAGAATTTAAGCAAATGACAAACCAAACGTTTCTTCCTTCAAAAAACCTTTCAATTGTCTCATGTATATCACTTTGTCCAATGCTCCATGCAAAAAGGCTATAACAATTTAATCGAGGAATAAACCAAGTAAGGTGACAAGTGCACACAACAAGCATATAGTTAAAAAACTTAGCAACTGGTGAGAATACTTCAGTGTAGTCGATGTCATTCCGTTGTTCTACAATCTCCAGGCTGACTCTCACTAAATTTTATCTTAGATGGCTGGTTCTAGAAAACTAGGTTTACTCCTCATGGTCATATTTGAAACATGCTCTCACTCATTCATTCAATTCATCACTCAAATTCATACACACATTGACATTCCAAGATGTTAAAAAACATCACTTTTTCATAAACAAAACAAGTTTCTACACATAAACTCTCCAAACTTGCTTGAGAGACTCTTCTCTACATCTTCATGTATACTACTTTAGAAGTTACTATAGTAATAAATGGTAATCCTTATCTATCCTACTTTTACAAAGATGAACCAAAGTAAGTTTGACTGATATTCAATAAGTGGTAACATGTCATTGGTCTAAAAAAGTATAATAAAAAAAATATAACTCCTTCAAGTTTGATGAGACTTCCCAAAGAAGAGAAGTTTTGACCAAAGTTGCAGCAGTCAACGAATTTGTGGAGCATATTTACCGAGTACTACATCAAGCCAAGGAGAAGTTGGTGATAGCTCAAAATTGGCAAAAACAGCATGCCGATGCACATCGTAGAGAAGTGGTTTTTGAGGTCGGAGATGTGAGAGGCAAGTTTTTTTGTTTTTTCGGAATTAGATTAGAAGGTTGGAAAATTGAGGTCGGTTTTAACCTTTGAGAGTGTAAGTAATTAGATTAGAATAGAATAGCCGAGTGACAGTGTAGATGAGGTAGTAGTAGTACGCTGGAGGGAACCTCAGACGTCACGATGACCTTCATGAGGGCGGTGAGGTCCGAACTTGTGAGGACGGATGAGAAGAAGGAAGAACTACCTCACTTGAGTACCCATACATGTACTTGGAAAAGTGTACTAAGCCGGTGTACGTGAGGACTTCGAAGCTTCACGGCCACAAAGCGGTGAAGGGCACTGGAGACGTAAAAGATAGTGCCGCACGGGGAAGAATTCGCAGGGCGGCACCTTCAATTCGCACGCATGGGAAACCGTTGCGACGGCGGGGAGTACCCAAGGAGTCGAATGCTCGACGCTCGCATTCCATGAACACATTGAGACATCGACGCGGGAAAGAGGCGCGCAGACGAGAAGAACGAGGACTGGCGATGGCGCGACCGATCATATTGCACGCTCTACGAGTGCCCGAGGTTGGTTTACGGGCTTACCGTCGTGATTTGATCCTGGTAAAGATGGATTTCTTATTGTGGGGTTGGAATTGGACGAGCGATGCGATCATACAGGAATGGGACAACAATGGGTTGCCGAAATTGCCGGGCTATCGAGGCCATCACGATACCTGGAAAATATGGGATTGGAAGAAGGTCTTGGGACGGTGTGCGGATGACGACGGAGATCTCACCTTCGATAGTGACAGTGTGCGCGTAACGAGAGACGAAGAACGAGCTTATGATGATCTATTCAAGCATCCCTACACCGGGAAGAATGGGTACCGCATAGTGTGATATCGTGATCGAATGCGGCGGATAATCGCGATGGCTTTGATGCAGATCCTCCGGCCGCAGCGACCCACTTACATGATGACTTGGCAGGTGGGGTTCATCGAGAGAGCTTTGCGCGGAGATCGTATTCACTAGGCGCAAATCTTTTGGACTGTAACCCGATAGCACATTGGGCTACTCGCAAGAGGGTCGCCTAGTTACTTGTTCCCGTTCTTGATTAATTTTTATAAGGGAATGAACTTATTGACTGCTGAAGAGAGCACTGCATTTCTGTGGTGCCTAGTTTTTTCGTTTTTCTTTAAAAATCAACAAATCTAAAAGATATTTGTCTAGAAAGTAGTTGTACGAGTTAGAATGAGTAGCTCATAAGGAGAAATGATAGAATTAGTTAGAATTCGTCTATGTACTAAAATCTTCGGATCTTCGTGTCTTCGGCGCAGCCTTTTCTGGACACGCGAAGAGCTGCGTCTTAGGCGAAGACATCGGAATCAATTTCAAATCACGCAACGGACCGGACGACGTTTGCACGCGTCGGGAGTTCTATTGGGCGCGTGAGGAGGCAATGTTAGGGCTTTGAAGGTAAAGGCAGTACGAGGAGTCTTCGCGCCGACATTGCGATATCGAGCAAGAACGAGCGAGAGAGAGAGGAAGCAAAATCGACCAAGCTCGCGAGTAGGAAAACGCAAATTGAAGACATGGCGTCCAAGAAGAGTGAGAAGGTGAGGAAAGTGGTTCCCTTGAAGGTGCCTTACGAAGAATTGCGACCCTTCAGACACGAGCTGAGTGAATTGCGGCTCGAATTCTTTTTGTGGAATTGGAATTGCGTCTCGGCGAGTATCTGCAAGGAGGTAATGGACAAGAGCACGACCAAAGGCGAGGAGCTCCGCGGTAATCCCATGTTGTGGATCATTGAGCATTGGACGGAGGTAATGGGACCGTGTGCGGGCAGCGACGGAGATCTTCTATTTGAGTGGAATAGCGTAAGACTTACACGCGGTGAGGAATTCTCTTATAGGCCTCTCTTCGAGTCTTGGAGACATGGGACTAACGGATGGAAGACTGTTTATTATAAAGATCTGAAGAGAAGGGTGATCGCTTTGAAAATTATGCACATCTTGCGGCCGGCGCGCACGACTTATGTGACGGCCTGGCAAGTAAGGTTCTTTGAATGCAATCTGAAAGGACAGCGAGTACATTGGGCAAGGATCTTTTACGATCTTGTCTGGGTGAATGCGGGCTTCCGGTGGACGGGACCTTTGACCAATCACATCACTCCCTTTCTGGTGAATTTCTATCGAGTGATGGGGTTGCTTACGAGGGAGGAGAAGAAGCCATTTCCGAGGGAAGGGAAATCTTGACAGCCGAGTCCAGTGAAAGGACCGAAGACGAGAACCGACCCCCTTCAACCCAACACATACCACAGCCTAGGGACCAGTTCAGATGGACGTGGTGCAGAGACGGAGAAGCCAGAGAGACAATTGGCGAAGAGAAGGAAGGTAGTGAGTGATGACGAGGAAGAATTGGCCCACGAAGTGAGAAGGGTGGACATGAATTTAGATGGAGCTAGGCAGCCGAGATCACGCGCAAGATCAAAGAAGAGGGCGAATCGGAGAATGGTGACAGCTGAAGTGTCGGACAGCAGCGTAGAGAAGACAGTGGCATCAATTGTGAACACATCCGAAGTCGCAACTGGCAAGTCAACGCGGCCTGTGGAGATAGAAGGACCTTCGGGAGTATCAATCAAAGTTCCAGCAGACATACCGGCAGAACCTTTGAAGGAGGGAACAGAGTTGATAAGTCCAATTTCTCTGTCTTCGGAGCAGTCACGGTCTGCGCAGGGTGAAGAAACACCACAAGTGAAGATGAACGAGGACCTAAAGAAGGAGTACACTTTGAGCGAGAAGATTTTGGAG